GCCTCTTAACTTAAATTCAGTCTGAAAGAATTTCCTACCAACCTAGTATTGGCAGATAGGGTATCTCTTGGTCGGTCACTCGTTCTGCTGTATGTTTTAATGATGCTTTTTGCAGTTTCAGTGAGCCAATGGCAGTCGTGAAGCATTCATGGCTGACGCCTGCAACCCGACCACGTATTTTTATTAACACTTTTTGCGGTAGCTTTACAAAGTCTTTGTGTATGTGTGTGTGTGTGTGAGTGTGGCTGTGTGTGTGTGTATTTCAGCTGAAACTGCTCTTAAAATTGTTTTTTGGGTTGCTCAATACGAATTTCAATTTCGTTTCCTGCAAATTTTGTTGCTTTTCGTGTTTCGCTGATGCACTTTGAACTGCTCTTTGACAGTTAGCCCGAATAGAACAAGAAGCAGCAGAGCTGGATGATAGAACTGATCCCGAGAAGGGGCAGCTGTGTGGGCAGCGCCTTCTCCTGTCCCCCTGGCGAAATTGTAATAAATGTGATTGCGAAATGCCTGCGGGAAAGTTTCTGAAAATTAAATGCCAATTGCAATATGCAAACAAAATGTGCACAAAGCGAATGCCATAGCAACCGAGAAAGCTATCACAAAATGCACACCGAAGAGAGAGAGGGAGAGTAGAGAGAGAGAGAGAGAGAGAGAGAGAGGGAGATTTTGAAACTCTTTGCCTGGCCGCAGTGTGTTAAGGTGCGCATGACATAATTCCTTAATTACCAAAGTTGTCAGAGGCAGCTGCAAGGCAAAACATTTATAATAATCACAACTATAACTCTATGCTCACCTCTGGCACACCTGTAGTTACCTGAAAAGCAAGCAAGGCTGCACATAACTGACATGTGCACAATTGCGCCCAGCTCCAGGTGGCTGCAGATGCCTAAGCCAAGCAAGGCCAAGCAGCAGCAGCAACAGCAGCAGCAGCAGCAGCCTCTGCCTTGGCTTTTAAATATTTGTAGCTGATTTCAAACGAAACGAACAACTTACGTATATTAACTGGCAAGCTATTCAAATAGCCCTAGTCGGGGGTGCACGGCTAGGATATGCTCTGAGAACGGCTCTCACATGCAGCAGCAAAGAAAGGATCAGTGCTCAAGTGATTCCTGCTGTTCATGAACATACATGAACATAGAAATCTGACAAATATTACAAACTCAGCGACAAGATAAAAATATGTAATAGACCAATACTGAGCCTTACACTCTCAGCAATAGACGCATTAGATTTAAGGGTTGAAAATATGCATAAGTCGGGGTATATAAACCCGGGCTCAGAAGATTAAAGATCAATACGAAACGAAGCACCATCATAGCCAATTGTATTCGTCCACCTGCTTTAACATTCTCGATCCTCGGGAAAGTGTTCAAGCTTGCTGAGCTTGACAGCAATAGAAATAGATATAGTAATACTATATACTTCGATTTGCCGCGCCTTCATTAGCCGTAACCTTGCCACTCCAAGAGTAAAGTCTCTTCATGACAGCTTAACAATCAATTAAGTAAAGCGCTCCATACATCTCTATCTTGCTGTTAAGTACAGACACATTCGATACTCGATACTCAATACCCGATACTGGATGGATACCTTGTCCTGCCCTCCTGCATATTGAAATTGAATTTGTTCAGCGCTGCATTTATTGAATTATGAATGCAAGTTTGTCTCTTTCTTTTCATTTGTATATCCTGCACCCAGGGAACCTGAAAGTTCAGGGCATGTTGCATGCGTGCAGCTGTATGCAACAAGCAGGAGAAGGCCTTATATATCTCATCAAATAGTCGGGTCGAGCCAGCCATGAGCCATGACAGCAGCGTAGAATGATTGCAATTTGTAGGGTATCTTCTAGTCGTCTCCACTCACTTGTTCGTCTTCTTCATCTTCTTCATCTTTTTTATTTCGATTTTTACCTCCCTAATTGCCAACGTTTGCCAATTTAAGCGCAACTGTTGTCGTTGCCAAGGAGTTGTCAGCGCCAGCAACAGCAGCAACAGCAACAGCAGCAACAGCAGCAGCTGCTGCCATATCAATGTGCCTCTTCGATGCGCTGCCCGCTGCCCGCTGCCCCAATGCCGCCTCCTTCACAGCTTAACCTTGTAGAGCAGTTGCAATTGGCAATCGCCACCTTAGTACTAAAATTTGCTTCTTATTTGCTGCTCTTGTTGTTGTTGTTGTGCTGGTATTGCTGGTGTTGCTGCTGTTACTGTTGCTGCTGCTGTTGTTGTTGCTGCTCTAGCTGCTGTTGTTGCCCCTCTTGTTGTGTATTGTTGCTGTTGTAGTTGCAACTGTTGTTGCTGTTACTACTGCTTTTCTTGTTGCTGCTGCTGTTGTTATTGCTATTGCTGGTATTCGTATTGCTGGTACTGCTGCTGGTATTGCTGCTGTTGTTGTTTATTGATACTTTTGTAGTTGCTGTTACCACTGCTTTTCTTGTTGCTGCTGTTGCTGCTGCTGGTGTTCGTATTGCTGCTGTTGTTGCTGATATTGTTGCTGTCATTGTTGCTGCTGTTGTTGCTCTCGCTGCTGCTGCTATTGTTGGTGTTTCGTTCACAGTATTAGCTATTGCTATCGCTGCTGTTGTTGTTGTTGTTGCTGCTGCAGCGCGTCGCATTTCCTTCCGTTTCCGCTTCCGTTTCCACTGCGGTTTCTGCCGCCATTTCAATTTCAATTTGGTAACGCGAAACGCAGAATTTGTGTCTTCGGTTGTTAGGGACAACAACACGAGCGAAGTTTTCTTCGCCACGCAGATTTTGCCCCAATTAGTGTACCGCAGCAGCGTGTTAGACACGAACAAGAAGCAGCAGAAAGCGACGCCAATTCCCCCCTGAAATTCGGGTCCAAGGCGAATTGCCGCAGCAAAAGGCGGTTTTAATTAAAACACTTTACACGCGCACAAAACTCGCTCTGATTATATTTCACTTGACTGCAATTGTTGCTGTTGCTGCTGCTGCTGTTGCTGCTGCTGCCTGCAATTGTTGCTGCGGCAGCTGACTTTCATATGAATTATTTTCGATTGCTATGGATTTTTTATATTAAAAATAATATGATGCGAGGGTAGTAACAACACTTGGCTAATCTAATCAAGATTCATGCTATAATCATTAGCTTATGAACTACATTTTACTCTTCAGTTCCAGTTTCGATCTCCACAACTACTCCAACCGCCCTCGCACAGCTTCACATTCGTCACTTTGAGCTACAAGCTAATCTTTCATTCCCAAATGGTTGTCTGCTGTCTGTTGGCCGAGGTCAACCTGTACAAGCGCCGCGCAATAAAGTAGGCAGCAGCAAAAAACTTGGGTTTAGGGAAAGAAAGAAAGAAACGGGTAAGAAGTGAGCAGAATATGCATGAAAAACAAAAAGTATACCCTCTATTCTATATACCTCTATATTCTATATAATCTTTATTCTATATTCTTAATTATATT